ATGATCGGAAGTCTTGTGTTCTTACTGCCCTCAGGATGCTTGGAGGGACACAAGTTCGTAAAAATCATCTCCTAAACTCATATAAATTCACATTATGTGCTGAGCGTTAGCTTTCAGAATGACTGGCATTGGCCCGTTGCGTCTTCTGCAGAAGTCGAGGGACATGACTCACACAGCCGCTTCTTTTCCTTTAATGAGAAATACAGTTCAGGACCTTCATAAAGGCTTTCATAGGGTTTTAAACTTTAATAACTTGGATTGTAGGCAGTGCAGAAAAAAAAAAAAAAATCCGAGTAGCATTTTTATAGCATTAAATTCAGAATGACTATGGGAAGTAAGCAGTTTTATGGCACTTCCCTGGAACCCAACTTTTTCTAATGTTCTTGGCTGTCCACTTGGAAATTATCAACATTTTGAGTCCGGAAAACATTTTTCATTTTCAAATCCACATGTCATTTAAGAATTCATGCTGTAAATGGCACTTAAAAGCAAATATATTGTCTGCTTCAAGTCACTTAAGAATAGCCAAGGTATAAGTATATATTCTTTCTATTACTTTGTTATTGTTAAACCTTACCCGAAGATATTTTTTCCATTGATTTCTACAGACAGTGGAAGGAAGGAAAGGAGGGAGGGGGAGAAGGAGAGAAACATCGTTATGAGAGACATTAAGATGATGTGTGTTTCCCTCACATGCCCAGAGCTGGGGATTGAACCTGCAACCCAGGGACTGCCTTTGACCAGGAATCAAATCTGAGACCCCCTTTTTTGTGTGTGTGTGTGTGGGGGGAGGTGGGGAACTCTAACCACTGATCCCACCAGCCAAGTGCTATGTGTACTTTTATATATAATTTGTGATGTAGGCTCATTATATTACACAGTTGTAAACAATAGTCTTATTTTAAAATAGGCAGTCTGTGACAAACTGTTTATCACTACTGTAGACAAGGAAAATGGTGATATTGAATTGAATGTCTTGGCCATGAGAAGAAACTCAAAGAACTCATGACCAGAAACCTGTACTGTATCCAAATCTTAATAAGCTAATGTATTAATTTTTAAAGTTTTAAAAAGGATTTGTTCAGTATGGAATACAGTTAAGTATTGTGTGCCATAGACACACAGAGGAAATATATGTCATGTATCAAAAAATGGTTTCAGTTTACCTGTAATTATTTTTTTCTTTCTTTTTCTGTTGTAATTATATTTGTAATAATAATAATAATAATAATAATAAAACAACTTAGCTTCTCACCAACATAGTCATTTTTATTTAATGAGCTCGATTCTCAGGCCTGACATTTTTGTTAACTCACAAAAAGTTTATGGGGAAACTGTAATTGTTATGCTAAAGAATTTGTTGAAGAAAATTGAATCACCTGCTGGAACACACCTTTCTGCATCTTGCAAGAGGGAGGCATCAGGCAGGATGTAAGAAATTTCCACGCAATACTCACCGTCCAGTAATGTCACCTGTAGAACTCCATCACCTGGGCCCCTTCCCTTTCCTCTCATTCATTCTTAACCCTGACAGGTGCCTGTCCTTCACCAGAGGATCCCTTAGACCAGATGCCAGAAAAGCCTGCAGGCATCTGGAAAATAAGATTCCGTTACTACGGCTACACTTTCCTAATCATGTCTTCTCAGTAACAAAAGCTCTGCTGGCTTCCTCCAAGTCTTGGAGGTCTAGGAGGACAGCTCCTGTCCTATAGGGCTGAACTTCCTAAATGGGGCTCTCAGACTTTAAATCTTTGAGTTGGCGTAATGCTAGATTCTGGAAATTGGGGAAGGCGGTTGATAGGGAGCAGTCATGAATGGATAGCTGTGCGTTTTCTTGTAAACTACTTGGAAGAGGGAGATTCTGTTAGAACACGGAGAATATGTTCCAAGGTTCACTGCTGTTCCTGGATGGCCCTAATCCAGTGAGACAATCTAGACACAAACACCCTGACTCTTCTACACGTTTAGTGTAGAGCAGTGGTCGGCAAACTCATTAGTCAACAGAGCCAAGTATCAACAGTACAATGATTGAAATTTCTTTTGAGAGCCAATTTTAAAAAATTAAACTTCTAATGCCACTTCTTCAAAACAGACTCGCCCAGGCCGTGGTATTTTGTGGAAGAGCCGCACTCAAGGGGCCAAAGAGCCGCATGTGGCTTGTAAGCCTGTTTGCCAACCACTGGTGTAGAAGTCCTATGTGAGCAAGGGAGGGCTGAGAGCATGAATTCTGCAATCAGGCAGTTAGTTCTGGGAATGAATGCAGCCAGGCCATGTGCTTCAGGAAGTTACTAAATTTCCCTGTCTTCCCCTCATGTGTAACTGGGGACATTTATATCCACGTCACACCAAATAGCTGTGCAATGAAAGAGAATGATATATTGAAAATGTTTCATCCAGTGCCTAGCACCTAAGTACCGTACTCAGTAAATTGTGTTCATATCAGCAGCAAACATTAAGTTATTGGAAGAAGGAGAATCTGGTAGAAGGAGGAACGAGGGAAGTGAGAGGAGGCGAGGCAAAGCTAACGAGACAGCTTTTGTCTGTGCAGGGAGCTTGCTTTTAAATGCCTCCGACACCTTGTGGGAGCCCCAAACTGACCCAGGGGAACACGGGTGCTCACACAGGGTCCCAACTTCCCTTACGGAGAAGTCAGTTCACACTCCAAACAGAGGAGGGTTCTTAGACCTTAGGCCTGAACTGTGTTCTACAGTTTGTTCTGGGATGACTTTGGCAGCATTTAGAAATAGTTTCAAATGACACACAGGAAACTGTTGGGAAAGAGCATTACGGGAAACTCCCATGCTGAACTGAACAGGGTACTTATATCCTCAAACAAAATTTAACAGTTATGAACAGCAAACGACATGCATTGCCAATGGCTTAGAAAAACCTGGGGGAAACCTTTCACTTTCTCAGGCTGCATCCACTCAAAGCCCGCTGGGTCCTTAAACTTACCAAGCATAGGCCTTTACCTTTACATTTAGGCTCGTATTTTCCCCTTTTACTCTGAGAACATTCCCATCCCTTCCAAAGGATCAGGGTGTTGACAATCCTCAGAAAGACCTAAAGACTAATCTCCTAGGGAAAGAAGGAAATGCCTAAGAAATTTCAAAGAAGACTTCCAATGATATCAGTCAAAATATTAATCTCTCATCAGGGTGTAGAGTAAGAGTGGAAGGGGAAGGCGGGACACCCACTACAAACCTGGCACAGAGGTTCTTGACCCGAAGCCATGGATCGGTTTCCTTATACACAGCCAGCCCCACCCAAATTATACACAAAATTGTCTGTGGCCCGACCGGTGTGGATCGTGGTTGATCTTTTCACCCTACAAACGAAGAGGTCACAGTTCCATTCCCCTGTCAGGCTCCATCCCCAGTGGGGGCGCAGGCAGGAGGCAGCTGATCAATGATTCTCTCTCATCATTGCTGTTTCTCTCTCTCTCTCCCTCTCCCTTCCTCTTTCTGAAACAAATTAAAAAATGTTTTTAAAAATGGTCTTTCTGTGCTATTTTTAAAAAAATATATATTTTATTGATTTTTTACAGAGAGGAAGAGAGAGGGAGAGTTAGAAACATCAATGAGAGTCACTAATCAGCTGCCTTTTGCACACCTCCTACTGGGGATGTGCCTGCAACCAAGGTACATGCCCTTGACGGGAATCGAACCTGGGACCTTTCAGTCCGCAGGCTGATGCTCTATCCACTGAGCCAAACCGGTCTCGGCTGTGCTATTTTCATAGAAAGAAAAATCATAGCTTTCATTTACTGCTCAAAAAAAAGAGTTCAGTAGCCGAAACCGATTTGGCTCAGTGGATAGAGCATCAGCCTGCGGACTGAAGGGTCCTGGGTTCGATTCCGGTCAAGGGCACATACCTTGGTTGTGGGCATATCCCCAGTAGATTTAAAAGATTTCAAAGAATCTTTGAAATTTCTTAGGCATTTCCTTCTTTCCCTAGGAGCTTAGTCTTTCTGAGGATTGTCAACACCCTGAACCCAGTAGGAGGTGTGCAAGAGGCAGCTGATCAGTGATTCTCTCTCATCAATGTTTCTAACTCTCTATCCCTCTCTCTTCCTCTCTGTAAAAAATCAATAAAATATATTAAAAAAAAAAAAGAGTTCAGTAATTCAAGAAAGGTTAAGAACCACCAAGCCAGAAACCCTAGCACCAAGAAACAACCCCCAGCCCTAGCCGATTTAGCTCAGTGGACAGAGCGTTGGTCTGTGGTCTCAAGGGTCCCAAGTTCGATTCTGGTCAAGGGCATGTACCTTGGTTGTAGGCACATCCCCAGTAGGGGGCATACAGGAGGCAGCTGATCGATGTTTCTCTCTCATTGATGTTTTTGACTCTCTCTCTCCCCTCTCCCTTACTCTCTGTAAAAAATCAATATATTAAATCACAGCCCAAACCGGTTTTACTCAGTGGATAGAGTGTCAGTCTGCAGACTGAAAGGTCCCAGGTTCGATTCCCGTCAGGGGTATGTACCTTTGTTGCGGGCACATCCCCAGTGTGGGGTGCTCAGGAGGCAGCCAATCAATGATTCTCTTTCATCATTTAAAAAAATATATATATTTTATTGATTTTTTACAGAGAGGAAGGGAGAGGGATAGAGAGCTAGAAACGTCGATGAGAGAGAAACACCGACCAGCTGCCTCTTGCACAACCCCAACCGGGGATGTGCCCGCAACCAACATAAATGCCCCTGACCGGAATCGAACCTGCGACCCTTCAGTCCGCAGACTGACGCTCTACCACTGAGCCAAACCGGTTTCGGCTCTCTCTCATCATTGATGCTTCTATCTCTCTCTTCTCCCTTCCTCTCTGTAAAAAATCAATAAGATATATTAAAACACACACCCACAAACCTCCCATTTGTAGTATATAAATCACAGACCCACCACCATGGCTACACACCCCCCACCCCCACCCCCGGCCCGCACGCCATGACCCAGGCCGAGATGAAACAGGCCAGCCCCTTCAGGCCACTTTCGGAATAACGGATGGCTTAAAAAAAACAAATCTTTAATGGAATCTGTGGTCAAATAATATGTTACAACAAAAATATACAGAATGTACACAATACAAAAATATTTAGAAACAAACATTGCAGCTTGGTTTCTTGTTTGTTTTCCACTTACTTCCTTGGGGGGAGTGGGGAGGGCAGAGCTGAGCGTTGGGCAGTTTTTTAAGGCAGAGGAGTGAGTATCTGTGCTTTCCAGCCAGCCCTGGGAGCACGGTGCCAGGAAGGGGCTTCCGGCCACCTGGGGAACCTGCATTATTTGCAAATGAAATTGGACGCAGGGGAAAGGCTGGGCCTGGTGAGCAATGACTCTCCTAATCCCCCCGGGCAGGAGCGGTTCTCATGGAAATGGAGAGTCCTATTACGCCTCATTAGGGAGCTTTTCCTAATTAAAAAACGAATGACTAATGGTGTCATTAAAGCGAAATTTCTCCTTTGAAAGTTTGTTCCCTGCCCCCCCCCCCCCCCCCCCCCCCCGCCGCTTCTGTGATTCCTCTTCCGGAGGAGTGAGTGGGTCTGTGGCTGCTGCTGAGAGAGTCCCCAGGTTTCAATTTCTGCCTCATGCAGGTGCAAACCCGGCTTCGCTCCGTGGCCGGGAGATCCACACCACCCTCACGTGTCGGCCGCACTGGCCTGGAGGCCAACGGTGGTGGAGGAAGGAGGGAAACATGCTGCTGGCAGGGTGCTGGGAGCCGGGGACAAAGGGACTTGCTGAGGAGAAAGCCCTGCCCCTGGGTTAGAGACCTGGGTAGCGGGGAAGTGACAGTCACCACTGGATGGCCCTGCGGAGAAGGGATGGCTGGGAGAGGCTGGAGGAGACGGCTGTTAAGCAGACCAGAGAACTTCTGAGTTGCCCTTCGACACTCAGCAGACAGGGAGCAGCTGACACTGGCTGGGCTGGGGCCTACGGTGAGGATCCGGGGGTGGGGACAGGGGCTGAATGGGGGGTGAGGATGGAGGGTGAGGATGGGGCAATCTGAGCTGCTCCAGGCCTCAGAGGATGTGGGTGGGACTCCCACCGAGGGCAGTCCTCCCAAACAGCTTCCATCCTAAGCCCCAGGGAACTGGATGCCCCTGGAGGGCTTTGTAGAATCTAGTTCATGGTCTTGTCACTTCTGCGAGAGGAAGGCCCCTCTCCACGCCACACCAGACAAAGGCAGAGGGAGGGGGAGCTCTCTGCTCCCTCAAACTACAACCCAGAACCTCCAGGGGCTGGGAGAGGGCCTGGCAGAAAGCCCTGCTCCCCAGCAGGCGACAGCTGCCTCTGCCGCTCCAGGAGGGTCAGCTCCATGCACGCACAGTTAGCAGTAGCCATAGCCCCCTCTGCCATCCTCACCCATCTCCTCATCCCCGGCTCTAGCTCCGTCTCTTCTCCCCAAGACCGACCCTTCCAGCTACACCTTTCCCTCCGGAGGCAGAGGGGCTGGCAGGGCACAGACAAGGTCCCTCAGGGCAACGCAGCCCAGCCGCCTGGGCGGGCCGTCCTCAGCAGAGTTGGCGCAAGTGCAGCCTGAGCTTTTGCGCCATGCGGACAGCCTCGTTAGCAGTGGGCGAAGGCGGAGACGGGCTGGGTGTGGGTGACCTGGGTGGAGAGACCGTGCCCATTTGTGTGTGATGACTGGGGACGGAAGCCACTGTGGCCCAAGACGCCCAAATGTCCGGCCCGGCTGACTTCGAGCCTCGGGGTGGCTCTCATGGGCCAGTGGCTGGCAGAGGCAGTCCCTACACTCCTGCGCTTGTTCCTGCAGGAACCCAAGCCTGGCTTCTTCCTCCTGCGGGGCTGTCAGTGGTTGGGAGTCTCGAGAGCAGTATAAAGAGAGGACATTTTGTCAAAAGCCCTCCTCCCACCTTCCCTGGGGCCTGCACCAGCTCCTGCCGCCCGGAGGCCATTCCCTTGTGAAAGGGGTGTGGGGATGGACGTGAACACCTCCCAGCTCCCTCCTCGCTCTGAGAACCCGCGCTACAGCTGCCTCACCTCTGACGCACATCCACGCCCCCAACAATTCCTCTCTAGGTCTCCACCTAAACTGGAATTCCTTTTGCTGCAGCCTCCCGTCCCCCTGAACTCAAAAGTCACGTGGCCTCCATATTCCTGCCAGCCTCTGTTGCACCCCAAGCTCCTCCTTCCACAGGGAGACAGGACAGAATCTTCTCAGTATGAAGGCCACTCCAGAGGGAGCCCGAGCAGGAGCTGGCAAAGGCGAGGAAACCTCAGCATCCTGAGGGGCCGTCCTCCCTCCACAGACCCCTCCCCCAGCCTCAGTGATCCCCAGGGGGACGCCTGGGAGGCCCGGGGAGTGGAAAAGCAGAGGCAGGCTTTGCTAAACGCCAGGATCCTTAGGAACCACAACACCCTACCTCTCAGCCCCTTCCTTCCTCTCATGCAGACGCGTCCACAGGCGCCCACTGCCCCTCACAGCCTTCCTCTGGGGACTCCAACTCGCCCCATTGTTTTTCCCATCACACGGGCACCTCCACCCACCACACCACGTGCTCACCATCAGAACAGTCTCCACAACCAAAGGAGAGGCCCGATGTGCGGTCAGGGCAACGGAAGGGCAGGGCTCCAGAGACAAGGCAGGGCATGGGATGGGATGTGGGCCCTGGTGTGAGAGGCCAGCATGCAGGGGGAGAGGGAGGGAGAAGTCCCAAGCAGGGCCTTCCCCAAGGGGGAACGAGGGATGAATTCCCTCTTGCTGGGGTTCCTCTTGCTGGGTACCCCCATGGCAAGGGTAGGGAGTTATAGGATCTCCCTCCTCTGCCCCCCCAGGCGTTAGAGGCCACACCCCAGTGCCCACCTATAGGCACAGGAAGTCACCGGGGCTTCCTGGCCTCGTCCACACGTCCGACACCAGGCCCCCTTCCCCTCCTAGAGCTCCAGAGGGAACACTTTCTGGCCCGCCATTACCTCTGGGCTGGACAAGGGCCTGCCTGGCCACTGCCCCTCAGGCCTTCCTTACATTCTATGGCAGGGGTGGGGAATGTCCGGCCCGAGGGCCACATAAGGCCTGGGAAAACATTTCGTCCGGCCCTGCCAAGGCATTACGGATGAGTCAAATGTTTGACCAAACGCAGCAGGCTGATGTTTACGTTGATGATTTTGTGTGGCCCGTGAATGATGTTATAAATACCCAGATGGCCGTTGGCAGTAAGGAGGTTCCCCACCCCTGCTCCATGGTCTCTCAGGGTGGAGGATGAGGCTGCTCTCGGCCCACCCAAAAGGGACAGCCCCTCTCAGCCCACGCCAGGCCTCTGCTGGCCCGATGTCTTTGGAAGAGTCTAGAAAAACAGCAGCAGCCAATCCAACTCCTCCAGCAGGCGCCTTTCAGAACAGAGCCTCCACCGTCCGCCCAGCATGTCTCATCCTCTTCCTCCTGGCCTCCCTGAGCTGGTGATGAGAAAACGGAATCCAGATGCTCCTTTCCGATGCCACGTCTCCCTCCCCTCCCCGATCTCCGTCCTCCAGCCCTTAGGGGGGCGGGGGCAGCTTCAGGTCCAGCAGGGTGTAGGCAAAGATATTCCAGAAGACAGCGAACAGCACGAAGATGGTGTACATGGCCACAAAAATCCACCACAGCGACTGGTCCTGCAGCCTCTGCTCGTAGTTCCTCAGGACCACCACGCCCAGGGTGATGCCCACGGCCACGCCACCCAAGTGTGCCACGAAGCTCGGGTGCGGGCACGGGGGATAGGCCGACGGGTGGAACCGGAGCCACACGGCCCGCCCGAACTCCATGCTCACTGCGAGGGGAGGAAGCACAGAGAAGTCACGGCAGGCCCCAGGCAGGGGCTGAGCAAGAGGCCTTGGAAGCCCCCCACCCAGCCCCCACCCACTCTGCCATCCACCTGTTACCCCACGCGCCACAGATCAAGCTCTGTTTGTTCTGCGCGCTGGGGACACAGTAGCAAAGCAGACAGACAAGTCTCTGTTCTCCCAGGGCTTATAGGACCTGGCAACCCACCAGCATTACATACACGAGGTCAGTTCAGTAAGAGGAACTCTATGGGAAACAAATATAAGTGACTCAAAGCCAACGCTGGGCCCTTGCTGGTTTGGCTCAGTGGATAGAGCGTTGGCCAGTGGACTAAAGGGTCTCAGGTTCGATTCCAGCGAAGGACACATGCCTGGATTGTGGGCTCGACACCCTTCCGCCCCCAGTATGGGGCGGGCAGGAGGCAGCCAATCAATGATTCTCATCATTGATGTTTCTATCTCTCTATCCTTCTCCCTTCCTCTCGGAAATAAATAAAAATATTAAAAAAAAAATAAAGCTAGGTATAAGGAGGGGGATTCTTTAGTTTGGAGAATCAGTCAAGATCTCCCTAAAGAGGTGATGTTTGCTTGGCCAGACTGGCTCAGTGGTTGAGCGTCGACCTATGAACCAGGAATTCACGATTCAATTCCTGGTCAGGGCACATGCACGGATTGTGGACTTGATCCTGCGTGGGGCATGCAGGAGGCAGCAGATCGTTTTATTCTCTCTCATAATTGATGTTTCTATCTCTCTCTTCCTCTCTGAAATCAATTTAAAAATATTCTTTTGCCCTAGCTGGTTTAGCTCAGTGGATAGAGCATTGGCCTGCAGACTGAAGGGTCAAGGGCATGTACCTCGGTTGCAGACTCCCAGCCCTGATTAGGGGGAGGCAACCAATCAATGTGTCTCTCTCACATCAGTGTTTTTTTCTCTCCTTTCCACTCTAAAATAAATAAAAAATAGATTTTTAAGAGAGGTGGCATTTGAGCCGAGATGTGACTATTGATCGAAGAGCACTCCTGGCAGAGGGGACAGCTGATGCTGAAGCTCTCGATCCGTGCTGTCACATGTCCCAGAGGCTCAGCCTCCACGTTGGTACAAAGTCTCAGCCTCCGTGTACCAGGCTACCCTGCCGGAACTTTAATAACAAGCAACATGTGCTAGCGCTTTCCAGTTTATAAAGTGTTTGTATGTATCGTTTCAAAACCCTCAGAAAACCCTCAGAACCAGTGTTCTGTGCTTGGAAGGAAGAGATGAAGGGGGAGAAGGGCAAAGAAGGAATGGAAATAAATGGCCCCAGCAAGGTGCTGGGATTTCTAACAGATTCTGAAATGCCCTCCCTCACTCTCCAATCCATCCTTCTTGCATGAACTTGGGTTGGTCAATTCAATGGGGGTGTCCTCTCTTGAAGTAATAGTTGCTGGGAAATTGCCATTTTGTTAACCCACCATTCAAAGACACTTAGGGCAGGTACGCTTACCTCATTTTACAGATGAGGAAACCAAGGCGAATTTGACAGATTGAAAGACAACCATGTGAGGGGAATTGTGTCCTTGCACAGGTACCATTTAATGCACCAGTGAGCCTCTCTCCACCCTAGCCACTCAGGGGTGCCAGCACCTCCTGGGGATTGCCTCACCTTCAGGCATGAGCCTGCAACTCCAAGGATGGCCGACAGATGGCGGAAAAGGTGCAGCCAGGGACAGGCACTGTGTCCTCCCCACTCCTCCCCAGGCCCTGGGGCATCTTCCTGCCTTTGCTTAGCAGGCCCTGGGATCCACAGGGCAGGTTTGAAAGACGTGGTCCCCGACTCCAAAATAGCATTTCAGTTCTGCTGATCTTTAGAGTTTTTTTTTTTTTTAATTTTATTAAAAAAAATATTTTTATTGATTTCAAAGAGGGAGAAAGAGATAGAAACGTGAATCATCAATCAGCTGCCTCCTGCATGCCCCACAATGGGATCAAGTCCACAACCCAGGCATGTGCCCTTGATAGGAATTGAACCTGAGACCCTGTAGTCTGCAGGCTGACACTCTATCCACTGAGTCAAACCAGCTAGGGCTGTTATTTTCTAAATAGCAAGAGTCATACTTCTCTTCCCTTCCTTGCAAACAGACAAGCTGAGTCTGAGCAGACAGGGAAGCTGTGCTCACCCCTGCCCTGCCCCCTCCTCTTCCCCCACTGCCCTGGCTCAGAGTCTGTGCTTTAGGGCTGGAAGTTCCTCTGGAAGTGGAGATCCTCCAACTGGCAACTGAGACCAGAGAGTCCTGAAAGACAGGAATCAAGTGGAGCCCACACAGGCCCCTCCGCGCCATGATTTTTCTGGCCCCGTCTTCCTCTTCCCCACCAGGTGGGTGGCTGACCCAGGCAGAGACCGTCCTGGTGCTCCTGCCCAGCCTGGCTAAAGTGTGGGCATTAGAAAAGGCACAGGCTGGCTCTGACTTCGGCTCTACCATCTCTAGCTGGGTGGCCCAGGGCGAGGAACTCTGAGCCTCGGTGCACCCCTGAAAATTAAGCCTAAAAATATCCTCTTCACAGCGGTGGTCTGAGGACTGAATGAGAGACTGTGTTCCCGTTGCTTTCTTGCTACCCCCTTCATTTCTGTTCAGACTATTCTCTTTCTTTCTCAGAATGAGCCTCCTGGCCTCTGGTCCCATCTCTCTGACACTCAACTCCTCCACAATGCAGCCTGACTGGTCTCCTAAACCTGAATGTGTCAGTAACTCTTTTTTTTTCTTTTCTTTTTTCTAAAAACGTCATATGGGATTTTCATTTTAATAACACTTAGAAATTTCAGCAAGCCATCAATACTAGTTATAGTAAAGCTTTAAAATTAGCTTGTGTCTTATGAAAATTGCTTATTAAAACTTCTTATGGCTATTTTCAGGGGCCTTAATGTCTTCGATGTCTTTAAGGCTCATAACATGGCTTTACTATTGCCAGCTTTCTCTAAATTTCCTAACACATTCAGGTAAGCAGACTTATTGGCTGGCTTTGTTGGTAACTCTTGTTTAAAACCTTCCAAGGGCCGAAACCTGTTTGGCTCAGTGGTAGAGCGTCAGTCTGCGGACTGAAAGGTCCCGGGTTCGATTCTGGTCAAGGGTATGTACCTTGGTTGCAGGCACATCCCTGGTAGGGGGTGTGCAAGAGGCAGCTGGTCGATGTTTCTCTCTCATCGACGTTTCTAGCTTTCTATCTCTTTCCTTTCCTCTCTGTAAAAAAATCAATAAAAATATTAAAAAAAATAAAGCCTTCCAAGGACTTCCTAGTGTTTGCAGATGAAGTCCAATCTTCCTCTTTGCATTTATTTATTTATTAAAAAAATATTTTATTGATTTTTTACAGAGAGGAAGAGCAAGAGATGGAGAGTTAGAAACATCGATGAGAGAGAATCTTTGCATTTAAAGTCGTTCATGAGCTGACTATTATCTCTTATCACAATCACACAGTATCAAACCTCATAGGTCGAATTTGCAACTGACTTGCAGGCCATGACCCTTCACCCACCTGAGTCTTGGTTCAGGTTATTCTTTTTACTCCCTGTACCCGCAATGCCCTCTTACACCCTGGCTACACAGTGGCCCTCCTGCCTGTCCTGGTCAACATGACCCTTGCAGGTAGAATGGACTAGGGCCCACAGCCTGCTCCTAGGGGTTCATGGGTTACAGTTTGTAAACCTGCTAAAATTACTAGTTTCAGTGCACATGTACACACACATATGTGTGTTTTTCCAGGAATGGGGTCTCTAGCTTCCAATAGGAGATCTCAAAGGATCGACTCTGTGACCCAAAAGGTTATTAAGAAGTTATTTTCCTTGACCTGGATGCCGGTCATTGAGCTGGATGCTCACTCTGGGTGCATTTTCCCATCTGCATATCACATGTCAATAAAAAGTTTAAGGTTAAGAAATAGCAGAGTGGCCCAGACTTCTCTCATAACACTCCTCGTTGTTGCACATTATTGACAGCTCCTCCCTCTTTTTCTTGACCATAAGCCCCTGAAGGGCAGGGACTGTGCTGTCTTTATATCCCCAGGCCCAGGGCAGGGCTCCCTCCCTCCAGCGGGCTGGTCAGTACTTACTACAGATCAAGGCCACACCCATCCGCAGCAGCTTGAATTGGCACTTCATGCCTGACCAGTTCTAGGAAAAGAGGAGAGCATTCCATTAGTTCCAGACTGGACCACTTCTCTGCAGAAGCATCTCACTTAAGAAAACCCAACACTTAAAAAAAAGTAATCTTCCCTTAGCCGGTGTGGCTCAGTGGCTGAGCATAGACCTATGAACCAGGCAGTCACGGTTCGATTCCCAGTTAGGACACATGCCCAGGTTTCCAGTTCTATCCCCAACTGGGGGCACGAAGGAGGCAGCCAATCAATGATTCTCTCTCTTCAGTGATGTTTCTATCCCTCTCTCCCTCTCCCTTCTCCCCTGAAATCAATAACAATATATTTAAAGAGAAATAAAATAAATAAGTCTTCTCCATTAAGTTCTGAGTGAGGGGTTGTGACTTAAGATTTTAAGACACCGACGTGGCTTTAAGATGTTAGACAATGGTAAGCTTATTACTGTCGGAAAGCTCTGGAGCCGCACCAGCAGGGCAAGAGAATCTAGAGGGAAATGAGAGTCCCTGTCTCCTCTAGGCACACAGACGCCACCTGAGAGTTGCATCAATTGCTGGGTCTGTGGCAGGCAGTTAGGCAGACAAGAGCAGAGCGAGGACGGATGACGGGTGATGGGCCAGGTACAGAAGGTCACCAGAATGGCAAGCCCCAGGTGCCCAGCAATGGAAATCAGTTGTAGGGTGGGACCTTGCCCCCAGGATGACGTTTCCTCCCCTGGCACATCCATGGTCACGAGGTTTGGACCCCCTGACTTTTCCTCCCTAGAGATAACAGGTAGGCCTCAGTTGTATTTCAACTCCAGGCCCAGACAAGCAACAAAACCAGCGATGGCTGACTGAACGACAGCTGCCCTGAATAACGACCCCTGTCCTGGTGCCGGCCGATCAAGCAGAGACCATAACCCTAAAGGTCACCTCTGGAAAACTGCTGAATGTTCTAGTGAGATATTTCCCTGGAATCTCCCCTAACATCTCCGCCCTTAAACCCTGCATCTCCCTCCAAGGAGCATGCAGGTGCCTCCTTTCCTCTCCCGCTTCTGTCCCGAAACAGGCACGGAACTATTAGCCTCCTCAGTCCCAAGCTCCAAGGGCTCTTTCTTAACCTCCATGTCTCATTTCTTAAGCCCATTGCTTCAAGGAATTACATTTTCTACCTCTGTAATTTACCCAGTACGTGTTCTCTTACAGTTTGGGTCTTGGCTCTGAATGCTTCCCTAGCCAGAACCCAAGTACCGAGGTTGCTGAGCCCAGGTTTGGTCTGACCCCCTGGTCGTACAACTAGTGGCTGCTCCTTCTGCCTACAACAAACAGGTCCAGGATTGCAAAGGGATGCAGGACAGTGACCCAAGCAGAGTCCAAGCAGAACCATCAAGATGATTAGAGAACTCAAAATCCTGCATAGGAGGGATGACTGAAGAGAAGATGCAGGGGTTGAGTTCACTGTTGTCAAGTGAGTCAACACAAGGAAGGCGCACATTCAGTGTAACCTGCAAGCAGAAGACTCAGTGGATGAAAACTTTGGAGAGTTTTTTTTTCCCCCCCAAGAGAAAATAACCAAATTTGATACATATGTACGGGAACCCAGCATACATGAGAGTTAGAGAACCCACATGCACGAGAGGTTCAGAGATAGAAAAGGAACATGGGTGTGCAAGATGTCTTGAGCCAGGATGAGGTCAGGTGGCTTGGGGGCTTCAAAGAGTCATGGCAAGTGATAAACAGATGTTTGTCCTGCCCTATAGATAGATCAAAAGAGGTTATCTCTGGTGATCTCTTATTATGGGCAAGGCCCCTAATTCAAGTTCTTCTAGGCAGTTAAGGGAGGAACATAGGTTTCTCTTCAGCCTTTAGCTCAAAGCACTCTGCATACCTCAGGGGCCCATCTTGGGGCGACTCATTCTGAACACTCCTAGTTCCCTCCTCTGAGACTTCCCTGAAAGTTCCATATTCAGGAGGTTGAGAAAGAGGAGAGAGTTCCATTAGTTCCAGATCAGACCACTCTTCTGCTGTGCTCTGAGGACGGAACGAGAACAAAGTGGTCCCTTCGCTCTCCTCCTGCCCCAGGGCAGACTGTTCTGTAGCTCATTAAACCAGTCTCAGTCTGGGGGAGGTAGTTCCATTAAACCCCTGTTCCCATTCCAGCAGGCGGAGATGCGGGTGGGCTCCCAAAGGCAGGCCCACAGTGCCAGCTACCGGGCAGGTAACGAGGGGCATCTCTATGGAGGCAGAAGCAAAGCAGAGGTTAGTGCTCAGAGCAGACTAGGCCCTTCGTTTCCGAGTCAGGAAGGCGGGCAGTCAAGAAGACTTCTAGATGGAGTGAAGGCAGGCAGTGACTGTCTGATTGATTCACACGAAGATTTTTTTTTTTAAGTTTCCATTTAAAAAAAAAAACGTATTTTATTGATTTTCCGCAGAGAGGAAGGGAGAAGGATAGAGAGGTAGAATGTGCCCGCAACCAACGTACATGCCCCTGACCGGAATCAAACCTGGGACCCTTCAGTCTGCAGACCGACGCTCTACCACTGAGCCAAACCGGCTTTGGCTCTTTTTTTTCTTTTAAAAAAAATATTTTGAGAGATGCAAATCAAAACGACAATGCAGTACCATCTCACACCTGTCAGAATGGCCAACATCAACAAATCAACAAACGACAAGTGTTGGCGAGGTTGCGGAGAAAAAGGAACCCTCGTGCACTGCTGGTGGGAATGCACACTGGTGCAACCACTGTGGAGAACAGTGTGGAGTTTCCTCAAAAAAGAAAAGAAAATGGAACTCCCATTTGACCCAGTAATCCCACTCCTAGGATTATATCCCAAGAAACTATTGATAGAAACATCAATCAGAAAGGATATATGCACCCCTATGTTCATAGCAGCACAATCTACAATAGCTAGAATTTGGAAACAGCCTAGGTGCCCATCAGCAGATGATTAGATAAAAAAACTATGGTACATCTACACAATGGAATACTATGCTGCCATAAAAAGAAGGAATTCTTATCATTTGCAGCAACTTGGATGGAATTGGAGAACATCATGCTGAGTGAAATAAGCCAGTCAATGAAAGAGAAATACCACATGACCTCACTCATTTATGGATAATAAAGAACATTATAAACTGATGAACCAAAAGATAGATATAGAGACAGTAAAGCGACAAGCAGTCTGTCAAATTATAGCGGGGAGGGTAGGGAGATCTGGGGGAGATAAGAGATCAACCGAAGGAATTGTATACATGCATATAAGTACAACCAATGGACACAAAACTCTGGGGAGGGAGGGTATGTATGGGGGGCAATGTTAAAATATGTACACAGATAATAATTTAATTAAAAATGTAAAAAAAATTCACAAATAATAAAAAAATATATATTTTATTGATTTTTTGCAGAGAGGAAGGGAGAGGGATAGAGAGGTAGAAATGTCGATGAGAGAAAAACATTGACCAGCTGCCTCCTGCACACCCCCTACCAGGGATGTGCCCGCAACCAATGTACATGACGCTCTATCCACTGAGCCAAATTGGTTTCGGCAAAGTTTCCATTTCCAATAAGCAGAGCTGCCCAAAGATGGATTGATCCATCTCGGGGGAGGGTGAGTTTCCCATCCTGAGGGGTTCACACGGGGCTCCCCCTCACTGGGACGGGATGCTCTAGCCCTGGGCGTCGGGGAGAGGTGGGCCAGATGGCCTTCACACAAACCCCTCTCTCCCGAGCATCTCCGAACGCTCTGAACCTCCACAGGCGAGGGACAGAGGACAATTATCCACCTCACAAAAGGGTTTTCCACTTTACAAAGCACTTCGCCACGGGGTCCCTCGGAGGGGCACTCCTGTGGTGCATTCAGAGCTCCACGCCATTTACCACAGCGTGACGTGCAGACGCCGCGAGGAGCCCGGGGTCTTCGGGAAAACACATCAGACCCGGGGAAGGCGGCACCTGGGGACAGCCAGGGGCTTCTGTCCCCTCCCCACCCGCCCTGCCTCCTTTGCTGCCTGGCCCGGGCCCAGCGGAGGGGCGCTCCTCTGACAGTGGGGGGCACGTGTTACACTTCACAGAGGCCCTGACGCCGGCGCACACAATAGTGTCTATGGAGCTTCAGGGGAGGAAGCGGGATGCAGGGAAGCTGCCAAGAAGAGGGAGGAATCCCTGGGCATTGGGCTTCTTGCCCATCACCCGCCTCCCCCCCCCATTATCCCTCGCTGACCGGCAAGCCCTGCCTCACAAAAGGCAACACACGGCCCCTCTTTAGATGGGAAGTCTAATCTTCACTCACCGACAAGTTCTATGCCAGGAAGCAGATGGCAGGACAACAGCGTTCCCTCCGGGTGTCTGCCCACAGGGAAGCATCCCCAGGAGACAGGGAACGAAACCAATTGGTGCCCTCCGCTGAGCTGGCAACCCGTGTGGAACTAGCTCTGTTAGCCGATGGTGGGCCGCCCTCAGCTTCTCTCCAGGATGGGCAGGGCCTAGGGAGTCACTCGATGAATCATCTTCTCCTAAATGACGTCCCAATTTTTAACAATTTGTCCCGTGTTCCGCGGCGTTTTATTTTATTATTATTTTAAAAAATATATATTTTATTGATTTTTCACAGAGAGGAAGAGAGAGGGATAGAGAGTTAGAAACATTGATGAGAAAGAATCATAACCAGCTGCCTCTTGCACACCCCGTACTGGGGATGTGCCCGCAACCAAGGTACATGCCCTTGACCAGAATCGAACCCGGGACCTTTCAGTCCACAGGCCGACTCTCTATCCACTGAGCTAAACCAGTCCTGGCAGTTCCGCGGCGTTTTAAAGAAGTCCCGATTCTTTCCAAAAATTGGGACTTCTTTAAAACGCCAAGGGACGCAGGACAAATTATTAGAGATCGGGACTGTCCCGCCAAAAGCGAGACGTCTGGTCACCTTATCTAAATGGCACACACACACCTGCTGCCAACAAAATGGCCTGTGACAGGGAGCTCACTGCCCCCCCTCCCCCTCCCCAGCAGCCTGTGAGCTAATCACTGGAAAGTTCT